TAATGCTTTGCTTTCTTTCGAGCACATTATCTCCGACATATTGAATGTAATGTTTTGAACAATCTTTATTTTCATTTCCATATATTGCATATATTTACATTTTTATTGCATATTTTCGTAGAAAACAATAGTATATATTTATATTAATTTTTATAGAAAAATATGCTTTGCATTCAAGGAAATGACTAGAGACTAAGGGAGGTAAGTAATCTCAACTGATGTTTTCTAMTCATTATCACCGGCAGCTAAAGGTACTGCAGCAACAAGTACTCAACATCCATCAACAGCGTCACCAGTTTATGGTTAGTAATAATTAAACTGCTGATTGTTGAATTGTATTGAATAAATCTCTTTCTGATTTTTTCTAAACTTTCTTTGCTGGTATTTTTATAGTTACTAATAATTCATACGACTTATCGACTGTTCCAATTTCTACACTAAAGATGCATTCCGGAGAAAACGATCAGAACAGAGGTAAACTACTARCGGTAACTGATTAAGAAATATAAAACGGCGCGCGTGTCTCTGTCCTCTGATATAAACACCGAGGGWGCTGAAAAACAAGAGGGAGGAAAATTAGTAACACAAGCGTAGCGAGTGTTTCTCTTGCTTCTCTCGTGCTTTTTKACTCCCACCGTGTTTATATCAGAGGACAGAGACACAAGCGGCCGTTTTATAGTTCTTTTAAAAAGTGTTCCTGCGTTTTTTTCGAGCGAAACACAAATTTTGTTGCCGGAAAATCGTGTCTCTGTACTTTGATATAAACAYGGTTGTCAGCAATCAATCAGAGCGCGCGTTATATCTCAAATTTTTATAACAACTTATATAGAGGGACGATGAATCTTATAAGCAAGCAATATGGATGATTGACAGCCAAATGATATATTTGTGCTTCGAGTTAATTAGTTTCTTGCGATCTTTTGATGTCCTGATCCGAACACTCGTTCTCGTTTTAGAAATATTTCTTCATTGATCAGCAAAGAACAGCTGAGAGGACAGGAAGATTGTTATTGTGATCGGGACAAATATGCCGAAAGACGCAGGAATATTAATAGTACATTCGTAATATATATCCATAGTTAGTAACTATAATATATCACAATACAATCGMTTTAAATTGTGTATTCATATGATATCATTCCAGGCTCAGATGACACGGTGCAGAGGCAATACACCAAAGCTTCTCAAGTAAGTAATAAACGGAACACAGTACATTCAAATCGACCAAGCAAAGCAGAAATGACTTGATCACTTTTATATGTACCTACCGTTGATTTTATACAACGGATAAAACAATAAGGATATTAATTCATGACTTTCATAAAAAATTGAGAAGAGGCAGCATGCATTGCAAACTGTCACGGCATGCTGCTTGTGACTTGCTGGATTGTTTATATTATTGTAAAAATATTGTYGTTTTTGGATATTTTGGATGCATATAACTGACGAGGTACGTCACCGGGTGCACCTTTATAAATCGCAAAATGGCGCAAAATGTTAAAGAAAAGAGGATAGAATATTTACTTATCAAATGAATTGGAGGGCAGGGAGAGAAGAGGGGATACCTCTATTCTAACAAGTATACCTTGGCGACACATTTATAATGCATGGAGCTGTGCAGGACGATCAAAATATGATTAAAAATTCAAGAATGGTAAAGCAATTGTCGTTGGAAAAAAAAAATTAAGATTGTGATTTGATGAAATAACAAAGACAGAGAGGCAATATAAAAAAACGAAGATATCAAGTTGAACAAAAGGCATTTGCTTAACATATATCTGAATCCCACAATCCCACAATCCCACAATTCTTTAAGGGGAGAAAGGATGGCCGAGCGGTTAAAACGCCGGTCTATCACCGCTGGGGTCCTGGTTCGATTCCCGGTCCGGGACTATATGTGATTTGAGTTTGTAAGCTGGTTCTCTTCCTTGCTCCGAGGATTTTTCACCAGGTTCGCTGGTTTTCCTCCCTCATTCAAAAACTAGCTGTAAGGAGTGTCGTGTAGTAAAATAATGAATGTTGAGGTAGTGAGTGTGAGTGAATATCTAGAGGGCCACAAGTTTATTAGTCTAGAAACTATTACGTGCTACCCTCTCAAAATAAAAAAAAGACTTTATTTGATTTTGTTGTTGTCTCGATCAATCAGAAGCTTCGTTGAGGTGGTTTAACCAGCAGGGAAAATGTCACTTTTTATAGGCCTACTGATCCACACATTATTAGATGGTTCTATATATAGGAGCTGGAGTTGCAGATAGATGGCCGAACATGCCAAATGCTGATGTTTCGCTGGTCTTTTTATTTACCTTGATATTTTTTGTTTTTAGAGTGCTTCATGACAAATACGGTGTAGTGACATCATTTACAGGAACTTACAGAGCAAACAAGTGGTCATTGTCGATATCATCTTCACAAGGTACGGAGCTAAAATATTCGCATCTTATGTCTGCTTTGGGCGCAACAGCAATGATAATTCCCTAACTTTATTTATTTTTATTAACATTTCATAAGGCCCTTGCAAACAAAGATCATTCATTCCAAACTTATGGTTATCAATAATCTAATGCTTTGCTTTCTTTCGAGCACATTATCTCCGACATATTGAATGTAATGTTTTGAACAATCTTTATTTTCATTTCCATATATTGCATATATTTACATTTTTATTGCATATTTTCGTAGAAAA